CCCACTGCCTGGACTTCAGATCCAGGGATTATTCTGCCCTTAGCGGATCTTAGTCGCCTTAAACTAACACTTGTAGTCTCTGAAACGGTGAGGTAGACGCACTGCCCGCCCCTCGATGTGAAGGTCACTAGTACCATAGGTTGTTGCTTGACATCAGATGGCAAAGTTGTATCTGCATCTTCCTTCAACTCGAGACCATTGTTGCCTGGCGCAATGTTGCGTAAAAGTTGTTCAAAAACAACCGGTTACTCTGCTGCCGGCACAACTATGCCTTGCTGTGTGGATGGAGGTGGCGTAGAATTCTGCCCACTAGGTGTCACTGCGGTGTCTTGTATATGTTTACGGTTCCAACGATGAATTCCAGCATTCGTCTGAATGATGTAGGATCGGTTGTTTTCGTCCCAACTGATAACTGTTCCCCACTTGGTCCACCGCTTCTCTGTGTCCAGCTTCGTCAGTGCAGACTTGCCACTTGACAGGTGAGGTAGTATTCGAGCACCTTTCCTGGCATCAGAATACCTCTTGTAGGTGGCTTTAGCTGATTCGTCGGACTGACGGATGGTGCTGGTATCTGGAACCTTTGGCAGTAGATTTCGCTCCAGTATTGGAAGTCTGGTCCGGAGTTCTCGTCCCTGTAGTGCCATAGACGGAGACACACCCGTGGCTGAATGCGCAGTTGCTCTATAGTTCAACAATCCAATCTCTGGATTATCCAGCTTCAGTAAGTGTTTAGTCGTCTGCATGGCACGTTCAGCCATCCCATTCTCTTGTGGTGTGTGTAATGTCTTGGTGTAACATCTGCGTTATTTATAACCGGGAACATCCGGGGATTCGGGGGAGGCGGGAATTGACACCGGAGTGGAGCAGCTGCAATAAATGTTTAGTGTGCGACAAACATCGAGTCTTTAGATCTTTATCAGATGTAGAGATATTATAGTGTGTATGGGTTGGTCGTTTTGTGAGTGAATCCCCACGACTTAGCAAACTGACGGAATTCCTGAGAGGTATATTGCGGCCCATTATCCGATATTACTACATCTGGGATACCGAAAGCCGTAAACATTGCTTTCATTCTTGTAATTACCGCAGAGCTGGTCAGACTTGTCAGCCTCTTCACTTCGATCCAACGAGAGTAATAGTCGACC